GAGCAAACCATTTCAGTAATTGAAAATATGAGCACTAAAGCGTCAATGCCGCCAGAGTAGGCTATTCAAAATCAAGACAAGTTAAGTAATATTTGCAACAGTATTGGTAACATCAAGATTTGAGATATTGGCGAAATTCGACCATTCATTTAAAGAAAATGCTAGAGATTAGAGTAGCAAGTTCATCCGTCTAATGGCATTTTATAGCCATTTAAATGCATCCATAGGATTGGATCTTAACGCAGTCCAGAACCACGTTAGTATAACTGGACGCTATCTGAATGTAAAAAGCCGATAACGTCTCGAGGCCGCGTAAAGTGCGCTGACAAGCGGGATCAGATTCTTTGTTTGATCTTCATGGGTGGCAAGGTGAATGTATAAATATGATAAAGACTGTTATTCTATCCACCATAAGCTGCAAGCGAATGCAAATTATTTTTAGCCCTAATGAGTAGGCTCAATGAATAACGCTGGCACTAGCGAGATCTAACTTTTAGTAACCCTTCATTTCATTCCGGCCTTGTGAACGAGAACCAGTCTCCAGTAATTAGGCTGACATAGTCACACAACTCGTCAAATTCTGACAGGAAATTTAAGCAAAATTGATAGATATTTTACGTGTGAATTTGTTGGGCAGTATTAGGGTTAGTAAACGTGGTGGTCATAGCCATATCTGTGTTTGAAGAGACTAGAGAGACATATGCAGGTGAATTGGCCTGGGATCTAGGAGTCCCAGTGATAGAGAGAGCATCTCGCAAGAAACTGGCCACATAGATGGCGAACAAGGTAAAAACCAGGACGTCATCAACCAAGCCGAACACGCCTATGGCAGCCTCGGGTAGCAGATCTATGGGACAGATGATGTAAAGAAGTGCAGCACCGGCGAGCATAAAAAAACGGAGCCGGACAATAAAGGAGACGCTTTCACCAGAGAAGAGACGAGGCCAACCGTGCCGAATAAGCAGAGGCAGATCACGCAGCTGAGTGAGCAGCTTGTTTGCATGGAAGTGGTGGGGGGAAAGAATAAAATTAGGATAAGGTATAAAAAATAAAGATTATATCATGAGGAAAAAGGCCAATGGAATTGAGAGATTGTACAAGTGAAGAATGGATAAAAATAGGATTGAGCCGAGGCAAAAATGAAGCAATATGTGCTAAAAATTAGCCATTCTGAAATTCGCAGTTCTAACGCTTGTATTTATTGACATCACAAATGATGAAGACATTATGGCGCAATTATTGGACTCTACCATACGGCATATTTAATGAACAGAACCCTAAATAGGGAACAAAGCATGCAATAAGCTGATATAAAAGTGTAACAAAATTGTGATATATTTACGGATTAATGAATAAGATTAGTTATAACAGAAGGTAAATCAGTCGTGCGGCAAGATAACACTACTACACATTAAATTCGCCTATATTTATAAACAAAGCCAGACTCAAATAGCACATAAGACGTACATGCCTCCTGGAGCATCGATTCGTGTTGGCAGAAAATAAATGAAGACAAAATATTTTCCTCAAATGGAAAGTCTTTAAGATAACGAAGAATTCCTTTGATATATCTCAATATTATTTCCAAGTAATCTTTAAGACAATTTTAATTTTAAATGAGGATTTTAATAACCTAAGTAGCTTAAAGTGGAATTCACCACAATGAAAGGAGTACACCCCAAATTTCAATAGATTTCACCTGGCCTTGCTTCCTAAAAGGATTTCTCATCAAGGGTGAACTGTAATTTAAACCTAGCTTGCTTCTCGTCAGCACCTTTAAAAGTATTCGAAACAATATTGTCCGCATAAAAGATAGAAACTGCCGTCACGCTACAAAGTCACGATTGACATTTGGTCACAGCGCAAATATGGCTTTAAAGGTGATCTATGCCTCTTCCTTTTCATATTTTACTGTGAAGTTGTCGAAAAGACAAACTTTTATTCTTATGTAGAAAAACTGGGTTTTGAAAAATCCTTTAACAGATTGATACTGGAATACCTTTCATTTCTATTGAAGAAACTCATAAGTCGGCTTCACCGGGAGCTATAGAGGGATTGCCTTGGATTCGTGACTGTAGAGTTGTGCAAATAAGTCCTCAACGCACCGAGCTGCGACCCCGATGAATCCTTGCATCGTCCGGCGTCCGCTTTCGTCCGTCATGTGATATACATCGTCAGAGCAGGACACCATGCTTAACGATAACTCATCAAAAACAGACAAGAAAGGTGACCGGTATGTGTTTCGGTGGATGATCGTAAAGCATAGTGTCCTGCTTTGATGATGTTCATCACATGACGGATGAAAGCTCAGTAAGGATTCTTCGGGGTCGCAGGGCAGTGTGTTGAGGACCTATTGGCACAAATCTACAGTCACGGCTCCAAGACACTCCCCTTACAGCTTCTGGCGAGGCCGACTTACGAATCCCTTCCACTCGCATCTTCAGACGAAATTAAAGGTACTCCAACATCAAACTCCTATGTGTACTTACAATCGACGTCACTTATATTCGCTGAGTGTACGTCCTAAGACATTGGGAATATGGCACCCGTAGTTATGTTGAGTAGTGACAAAGTGTAGCCACTTTACGAGCACATTCCTATTTCGAATACTTTTGGAAGTGCTAATGAGAAGAAGGCTAGGTTAAAATAAAAATTTACCCATGTTGAGAAAGTTTTTTTAGAAACAAGGCTGGGCAAAAGTCATTAGCATCCTGAGGCCTATTCATTGCATTATAGGAACTTCCACTATTAGTATTTAAATCACTTTAAGTGACCTATAGTGACTAATGCTCTCATTCAATAATTACTGATAATATAGAAACATACTTCCACCAAATGCGGATTTAATATTAATGAAGTCTGAAAAGTTAGATCACTAATAGTCATAAAGAACAACCAGCAAGTTAGGAGTTGAAATGCCTTTCAACTTAAACAATAGTTTTACATTAGAAATTATGACAAGGCTTAAAAAGTGGAATGAATAATCTGTCTGAGTAAGAATACTAGAGATGTATAGTATGAAGCCTTATGAGAAGATTTTGATAAAAATGATTAAATGCACGTCACTAAAGGCTTGACAACTAGTTATTTATGCACTTTAATTCATTGGTGATTGGGTTATTTACTCAAGTAGCTGCATATTTGACTTCAAGCTGTCAAGCCATGGATTTTATTCCAATCAGGAGTAATGTAAATTAACTATAAGGAATCAAAGCTCCGAGTTGCTCTGGATTAAAACCTATTTTAGGGATGGAATTTCTAGTGTAAGATATTGGAAAATTTCGCATCCTCCTGGATAGAGCACCAATAAGTAAGAAGCAACCTTGCATGTTATGAGTTATTGAATTACTAGAAGATGGATAGTTTTCTCTAAATATGTGCAAGCATGAACAAGCATATATGACTAAGGCCGCAGTGTCAGAATCCATAAGTAGATAAAAATTGGCTGTCTGACTGCTCACCGGAACGGGTTCATCAGAGAAGCGTCTGTTGAACAGACGGATATTCTCCTCGAGTGCACCTAGTTCGCTATCTCGACGAGCTGAAGAAAGTTCTTCGTCGGAAAAACAAGCCACCAAAAATCTCACCTAAATACAGGCGAAAAGTAAATAAGAAGAAACAAAAAGATGATCAATGGATGCATGGCTCAAAAACCACCAATATACAAAAAATAGCAACTACGTGATCGTAAAATGGGAATAGGATATTGATTAAATGCCAATAAATATATACAATCCAATCCAAAACATTGGAAGCGGATTTCTAAAGAGTTGATCTGCTTTGCGTGAAGAAAACAAAGCCATGTGAGCTGCCATTTTTGAATCAAATAGAAAAATAAAAGGTTCATATATATAATGTAGTTTCGAAAGGAATGGCAAAGTCTTGCTAGCCAAACTATTTTTGGTAAATCCTGAGGCACTCATGGACTATATATCCAGACGGTGTTTGTGATATTTCCCTAAGTAGCCTAATCGGCAATATTTGCGAGGTCGGGCTACTCATTTTATGCTGCAATCTAGCTTGATACTTAATTAGATTTTGGAATAGATTCAAAATATTCAGCCTAATTTAAAAATA